GTTTTTATTTAACGGTTTTGTTCAGGCAATAAAACTGCTTTGGGATTTACAACAAATTAACGTTAAGTAACACTTTTGGAGTTGAAAATATCATTATTGTCTGCTTCATGTGGTAAACTATATTGTATTTTTAGTGAGATCTCATAATCCTGACAGATGCTAGTACATTTTTGAGAATAATAATTGGGTGTTGTATATGTTCAACATTGATGTGTGTCTATAGATGGCTATAAAGTCATGCTGTTATTGCGATGTGAATGCTAACACGCTATAATTTAAACCTGATAAAGTGACGATGACAAAAGTAGACATGGTACCTTATTGAATTGACATGTCCTTATACCTAAGTACATCATGGACTGTGATAGACTGCTATTCAAATATTCAGTGTGTGCTTTTTAAATAGCAAACTATTATAAAATGAAATTGAAACAAATTCCAAAGTTTGCTGTTTGTTTCATTATGTGATTAAACCATGTCTCATTTTCCAGATCAAGGTGCTGATAATATAGATTTACAGATTTCTCAATGGCATTGATGGCAACTATATCAGGATCTGATCTCTGGACTTATGTACAGAACATGCCACAGTTGTTTGCACGAGGAGGACTGTTTTATAGACAGGTGGAACGAGATCTGGGATTGGCTGATAACAAGCACTGTACGTTGCCAACACTACCAAGTAAGGTAATGTACCAAATAGATATACTGTTTATTTCGCTCAAACTTTGGTTACATTATTAAATCAAATAAATAATTTTAAATAAAATCAATTAGTATAATATAGATAGATGAATAAATGAATAAATAAATTTGGAGCTGTTGATTGTCATTGTGTATGAGTGGAAGTTAGAAGTTAGCTATCGAGATGTTGTTGATGATCTAGTATTGTAAGGATGCCTGAATTTTAAGGAGATTATCCACACCATGAGATAGTCTTTGTAGACACAAGTCATGTAAGCTTTCTTTGATTTCAGTTTTCTCTGAGACATTCTAGCTTTCTATAATCAATATATTATTAGAAATGAAACAATGATCTTATTAGATGATTCTAATACAGTAACTGTTCATTTCTTTTATTTCAGACATTTAGATTCAATGCCAAAGAAGACCGATTAGAATTATGTCTAGAGCCAATTGGTCATTTCCCAGTAGCCCCAGGAGTGGATGATCCAAGTGTTCTGTCCAGAATTGCAACTGAGAAACTCAGTACTACCAGTGCTGCTAGTAGTGACCAGGGGCAGGTGTTTGGTCGTATAAAAGCTGGAGGCAGTGGAGTGGTCAAACCAGGTAGTGCACGAGAGAAATCATCTACTATGGTATTTACTGGCGAGGCACATACCTTATCAGGCAGTACTAGCATTGAAGCATCTAGAACTGAAACAACCAGAGGACTAACTGCAACTGGTGTATCAATGCAGGAAACACCTATTACATCAAGTGATAGAAGACTGCCTGTAACTGCAGGTACATCAGAGGTGTCATCAACGAGTCTGGAAGCTTCCAAGGAAAAAGACATGAATTATGGGAGTGCAGAAAACACCAGTAAAGTTGAGGAAACAGCACTACAGAGTGAAAACATAGAAATGAGCGAAGTGAAACTACATCCTGATGAGAAGTCATCAATTGATGATGATGATATAACAGTCACTGAGTTAACAGAGATAATTGCTGAAGCAAAAGAATCAGATATTAAGATGGAAACAGTAGAACTTATTGCTCCAGCATCCCCTATGCAGACAGAGAAGAGTCAAATAGGAATAATCAATATACCTACAAATACTGGTATATCAGAAGCCCTCACTAATGAGACCAGTGAAAGTAGTCATGCTGACTCTAGTGATAGTACCACTGTAAGTGGTGCTGATGGGAGACCTCTTGTTGCTAAGAAACTTGGACCTGGTTACACTGTATTAGCCAGAGAGACAGACACTTCTGAATCAAGACAAGCAGATGCTGATTCACTGCTACATTCGACAGAACACATGGATTCAAGTTGATTATGTACCGGTAATAGTCAATGGGAACAAGATATTTTGAACTCATGTTTGTTGGAATTGTTGTAATATTATTAATTTCAATGAAATGTTATTCTGTTCAGATGATAATTGAGAGATTTTGTCTCTTCAAGTGACAATTTACTGTATCAGATGTTATAGTTGACTGAATGGGATTGTTAGAACTATAATGCTTGTGTGCAGTATTACATGTGTATTGACCATACTGACAGTGAGATTGCTTTTGTTTTAAATTGTAGAGCACAATTTGTTATTTTATCTGTAATTTTCATTTCTTTTTGAATTTTTATGTTACATTTGGACAAATCATACTGTGGACAGCAATGACTTCTCTGTTATCAAAGCAATTCGTCCTTGCTTCATCTAAATTAAAACAAATCACTTTCAATTGTATTTACAGTTGTTATTAAATTACCTGTACTTTCAATGTAACAAGGATGCAGATTTGCTAAATTAGATCCATCTTATTTGAGAGGATAAGGACTGTAAAATGGTAACGATTTGCATCTCAGTCAAAAGTAATTTTTTATTGATGTACAAGGTACAATAATAACAATTTTCTAAATATTCAGATCAAACTGGAAGGTCAATCATAGTCCCACTAATGGATACTATAGAAAGACGTATATTGACTTAATTTCAACAGATTTGATGTTAATGGGCTATATGTTTACATCTGAAGTAATACACATCAGTCAATAAATCAAAATTGCCATTTTGACACTATTATAACACTTACCACAGGTTCCTATGGCAGAGATATGAAATATTTTAAAATCTAGCCTGGTGACATAGGCTGAAAAAATCATATATTGTTAATGATGGAGTACTTTTGTTGTTCTGAATTATTTGGGTTTTAAAAAGTGTCTATGGAATTGTTCTAAAAATAGCAATTTTCAAGAAATATTATGACCCGTTTCTGAAATAGCTTAGCTGTAACACACACAATAATGCTATTTCATTGTACCATGGGACATTAGCTTCATGATTGTACATAATAAACTAATGAACATTGTCATGCGATTTATGACCAATTTTGTCAAAAATTATGACTAGGCTTCTACCTTAAGGAAATGCGAGTTAGTAATTGATCTTTGATTCAGACATTCTGTAAAAGTTACTAAGCATGCTGCTGTAACAACCTATATATCATCTGAAAGCTTAGATATAGGTGAATACAGTAGTACATTTGCCACCCAAGAATTTGTCTAAGGGAATACCTGGTAACAAATTTTGCTATTGTGACTTCTCTGACTATTCAACCTTTTCAGTTTGCATGAATGACATGCCTCACAGACGTCATATAGCATAGAAAATTTATATATTCTATAAAAAAAATCATTTGTCATTTAAAAAGCCACTACATCTATCGTAACAAGTATCTATGGTAACAGTATCTATAGTAACATTGTCTATAATAAGAGTATTGTTTTATCTACATTTTCAAAAGAAGTCATTTTCTAATGTTTTGAAATTATTTACAGCCTGTTCATCAAATTCTATTTGAAAACTAAATGTAATACCAATTTTGATTGGTTGGATTTGTAACCTAATATGTGATTGGTTGAGACATTAACAATGCTCCTAATTTGCTAGATTTTCTGTGACTCATTGGAGTTTAAAATGATATGTGGTTTACTACTGTCAGATCATGCAGGTGTTGCTTTAAATAGGTTGCTTTGATATTTTGAATTTAATTTTAAAATAAAAGTCTG